GTCTTGGTTTTTCTAGGAGTTACCTTTGTGCACCACCATATTTATTCCTTTTGTGGAACTAATTCCGTCTAATTCTGTGATTTTTAGTTAGTATATGTCTTTACTGCAGGTGCTTCTCCAGCCAGGAAAACGCTTAGGCCGGTGGCCTCACCTCAGAGGTGCCTGAGGCATGACTCTGACTCTCCATCTCCACGGAGGGGTACCCGGAATGCCTCTGATGCAGACCGTAGGCTGGACCGTGTACACAGCGATTCCCCTAAGCGTGGTCCTCTCAAACAGAATCAGAGCAAATCTTCAGACTCTGATTTATCTCCCCCACGTCGGACTCTGCCGGCTGCAAAGGATCAACGTAGTTTGAGGAGTCCACCTGACCTCTCGCCTCCTCGCCACCGTGACGCTAAGGGATCTCCCAAGAAGGTAGACGTTTCATCTTTTCATCTTTCTGTTTAAGCTGTGAATTACTTGCTCTAGGTAGAAAACTGTAAAGGTCCAATGACTTACAAATTGTGGAGTAGAAATTTCATATGCCTCGTGTGTGCAGCTGTGCCAGACCCTCTGCTTGCGATAAGAAGGACATGAGGTGGGCGTGCGAGAGGAGCTCTACCTCAGTGCACTGTGTTTCTGGAGGTGTGGGGAAGTTGTTCCCGAGGATGCCCAGCAAAGTGGCTTTGGAACGTGGCTGGCTGTGCTGACACGTCTCTCTTGGCTTCAGGCTGTCCCCTCGTCACGCCTCTGGATCGTTGGACAGCTCGCGGCTAGCAGTAAATGTGATTTCTGCTTGCTTTGCAGGCAAACGTGATGTCATCTGGGGTCAAAGCTGGCTTGGTGTCAGCTGATGTGCTGCGGAGGGAACAGCAGGAGCTCAGGAGGCATGAGAGAAATAACAAGCACTTGGAAGGTAGGGGTGTAAAAACACTGCACGAGCACCAGCTCGCTTTCTCTTCCTCTGCTTTCAGCTGGCTCTTGATGCTGCATCGGGCCCTGGTGTTAGGGTGCCGATGGAGAGCATCCCTGCGGCGCAGCATCTAGGCATGCGGATGGATTCCTTGGGTAGGGTCACTGAGCCTTGGAACTAAAAGATTTATAAACGGTGGTTTCAAAGCAATGCCAGTGAAGTCATGGGGAGAGTGAGAGATTTTATTTTTTTTCCTCCATCTGCCCCGGCTGCAAGTCTGAAGAAGCAGACTGATACTCAAAGGGCTCATGGTAGGAGCGTGGCTGTGCGGGGCAGCAGCTAAAAGCAAGAGCTGTGGGCCGGACTGGTGTTGGATGATAAGCTCTTTCAGAGGTTCGAACAAGTAAAAGGAAGGAATGGTGAAGTGAGGCATAGTTAGTCACTGAATTGTCTGGAGATGGCAAAATGTTCCAAAACGTGACTTGAGGCATCTGCCCCCTCCAGAGGAATCCCGACACTCTGAGACCGTCTTCCGCGACAAGTCAGGCCGCAAGAGGGACCTCGCGCAGGAGCGGCTGGAACAGAGGCAGAAAGCCGAAGCGCAGTCCGAGAGAGACGAGCAATACGCCAAATGGGGAAAAGGGTAAGGTTCTCCAGAGGTCCCTAGCACGGGCTTTGGGCCTCGCACTACAGCTTAGGACTCTCCACTGCCTGCTTTTTAGCCCAGTTTTGGTACTGCTTCGGCAGTGGTGTTGGCGGTGTCTCACTTTGTTGAGTTTGAGCCTGGGAGCAGGAGAGCATGTGCTCCACGGGTCTTGGAGAGCCCCTCAAGTGTTCCCTGCGTTGCTGGGTGTGCGTTGGGAATGCTGTGCACACGGTGGAAGTTCAGAACTGTTACCGATCCTGCAAAATGAGCAAGTCACAGTAAATGCTTGCTTGGCGTGGGGGTAGAAGTTTGTGTGTTTGTTTTCAGGCTAGCGCAGGGGAGGCAACAGCAGCAGAACGTGGAAGATGCAATAAAAGAGATGCAGAAGCCATTGGCCCGTTACATTGATGATCAGGATCTGGACCGAATGCTGAGAGAACAAGAGAGAGAAGGAGACCCCATGGCTGACTTCATCAAAAAAAGGAAGGCCAAAGAGAACAAAGAAAAGAAAGGTTTGGATGTTGAGTTACGCCAGCACATGGTTTAAGGCCCTGGCAGCGTAGAAATGTGGCTGCTGTTCACTGGCTAGCCTAGGACTGCCGGAGCAGCTTAGTCCTAAAGGACTGCTTCTCTGGAATTTGTGGAGTAGCGCAGCGCTATTTGCTATTATTGGCTTGTTACCAGTAACCGTTACTATTATTTGTTAGCTTGGAGAGCAGTATCCAGTGACTTAAAAACCAACCCATTCCCGTTTGTTTAAGTGTGTCTTTGGAAGTTTCCTCTGTGAGCGGTAGTTGGCTGTTAAGCAGCCTGTGCGTTATGCCGGTGTATACCTCTGAGGTTGGTGACGATGTGACCGCGTGATTGTGCTGAAGTACTAAACGGCTCTATTGCTCTTTCTGTTTCTAGAAAAACCTAGGTACAATGGACCAGCACCTCCACTCAACAGATTTAATATATGGCCTGGGCATCGCTGGGACGGTGTGGACAGGTATATGTTCCCGATACAACGGTGCGTTAGAATAATCGTAAAAATAAATGAGCTTTTGCTTCCAAGAGTTCACAGCGTAAAGATTCCCAGTTACCCGATGAGTGAGATTTGTCAGCGATAGGTTGAGTGTGTTAAGTTATACTCGGGTGAGGAATATGTGCTTGTCCGGGCCAGAAGGGAGCGAGGCTGGTGCTGTCAGCCAGGGTGTGGGCAGCTTCAGAGGTGCTAACTGTTGCTAACTGCAGATCGAGGTGGAAACTGCCAGAGTAAAAGTAGTGGAAAGCTTGTCAAGTCTCTAAAAAGTTTCCTTGCTTCAGAAAAGCTGCTGTGCGGTGGCCCATGGTCTTCTCGGTGTTACTTTGTAGGTCCAATGGATTTGAGCAGCAGCGTTTTGCCAGGATAGCCAACAAGAAGGCAGTTCAGGAGCTTGCGTACAAGTGGAGCGTTGAGGACATGTAGACAAGACAAAGAACCGTGCGAAGCAGCGCTCCTGAAGCGGCGCTGCAGAGGTTCACCTGCCGTCACTGCCAGAGCTGTGAGGAAC